GGGCTCCAGGGAGAGTGAGAGAGAGTGAGAGGAGTGATCGTGGGTCTGGGGCTCCAGGGAGAGTGAGAGAGAGTGAGAGGAGTGACTGTGGGTCTGGGGCTCCAGGGAGAGTGAGAGAGAGTGAGAGAGGAGTGACTGTGGGTCTGGGGCTCCAGGGAGAGTGAGAGAGGAGTGACTGTGGGTCTGGGGCTCCAGGGAGAGTGAGAGAGTGAGAGAGGTGCAGGCTCACATGCAAGCAAGCCTGTTACAAAGACAGGGGTGTGTTTTTCTCCTGGCACAGAGCTTGTGTTAATGGGCTGTACCTGGGCAAGACACCCAGATCTGATTTCTTCATTTTACTGGAAGCCATTGTGCCAGACATGAAACATGCAGTAGAAAGTAATGTTATTATTTACATCTGTAGTCAATTTGCCTATCCAGTGACCAGGATTCAGTAAATTGATCTAGTGATTTGCCTTTAGGAGTCCATGTAAATTTGTTCGCTGGACCTGTGGAGTTTCTTGCAAAGGGAGCTATGGCATATAAAATACTGATTGATTAATTGATATCTGTTCCTAAACAGCAATTCAATTGAATAATATGTGTTAAATAGCTGTGAAGCATGGCAGGAGGCAGAGAGTGCCCTCTGGAGGAAGGGAAGCATGTGGTTTTCTGACACCAGTGAGCTGACTGGCATGACATCTTTTGGGAGTTTCAAATCAGCATGGGCTCCACGCGTTGTAAACCTGAAGCTGAGATTTGCTGGTGGGTGTGGCGAGGGAGCTGAGAGATCAGCTGGAGCCGGAGCCCGAGACACAGCCGTGCACAGGAGCAGGACGACAGCAGGCCTGCCGAGCTCGGGGGCGGCGCCCCTGCCCTCGGCTGCTGTTCTCCTGCCCCCGTGTCGGGCGCTCGCCTCCGCTCTCCCCCAGAGCTTTCAAAGTTACAGCCGCGGCTTTGCTTCGGCTTGATTGGCTCTGGCAGGTCCTGCCCCCGCGCTCAGCGGAGGATCAATAGGGACTTTGAAGGTGGCATGTGTCGGCGGGGGCTCGGCTCAGGCGGCCCCGTCTGCTGCCGCGCCGTCACGGGGACCAGGCAAGGACAGGCCCCGGCCCAGAGCCATCACGTACAGCACACACCTCCCCTTCTCTTCTCTGTGTGGCGGGTTCCCCTCAGCGGCTGTCACAAGCGTCACGAACTGCGTGCCCTGCCGTGGTCTCTCTGTGCTGAGCTGCACAGTGCTTTACACACATCTGCACTAACCTCAACCTCAAGATGTCATGTCATTTACCAAACCACTCTATACCATACGGTGTCGCGGGAAGCCGGAGCCTACCCAGCAAGCAACAGGCACAAGGCAGGGTACACCCTGGATGGGACGCCAGTCCATTGCAGGGCAAGTACAAGCCAATCATACATGGGGACAATTTGGAGGCCACAGTAAAGGCCAAGGGGGGAAATTAGGCCCGGACACCGGGATAACTCCCTACTTTTAGCGAGAAATGCCCGGGGATCTTTGATGACCACTGAGAGTCAGGACCTCGGTTTAACGTCTAATCCGAAAGATGGCGCCCATTAAAGTATAGTGTCTCCGCCAATATACTGGGGCATTAGGACCCACACAGACCGCAGGGCGGGCGCCCCCCTGCTGGTCCCACTAACACCACTTCCAGCAGCAACCATAGCTTCCCAGGAGTCTCCCATCCAGGTACTGACCAGGCTCAACCCTGCTGAGCTCCAGAGGGCTGCCAGTTGAGCCCTGCAGGGAGATACGGCTGCTGCCAACCTCAACATATCAATTGTTAATCGTCCAATCAATGAAGACTATCGATAGGCTTGCTCAGGGTCAAAAAGGACAAGCTCCCACCTGGCACAAGTGACTAATGCCATTGATTCAAAGGTGAAATCAAAAGCAATTACATTGATTTCATAATAATTGTAACAGACTGCTCTGTATATCATAGCATGGCTACTATAGATAGATTAGCATGGGACTTCTGTGTCTGAACCAGCTCCTGATCGGCTCCGGCCCCACTCCTGCTTCATGATTGGTGCATCCCTTGGGGATGGGTATTTGAATGACATGCCTGTTGCGTCTCTTCCCAGAGACGGCATTGTGCTTTATGACCTTTGCCCGGTGTTTTGCTGAGAAGCCGATAGCCCTGCTAGCCCTGAGCTTGACAGGCAGCTCATGGCGGACAGCGCAGAGCCCAGCCAGCGGGGCTGCATCTCACTGGAGCCGCCGTGGACGTGACTCCTCGCCGGCGGCACTGGGAGTTGAGAAACGTCAGCGGTTCCGCGCCGCAGCGGGGCCGGGTTCTTGTCTGTGGACGAGGGATGTGTCCAGGGAGTCGTTCCCCTGCTGAGGGCGTGGTGGTTATAAACGAGTTTCCTGCAAACCTGCTGGTCAACGTGCCCCCCGTTTCCTAGGGAACTGTGATTTTTTTCTCCTGGGCTGGGTATCTCTAGCAAAGTGCCAGTAGGGTAGCTGGCAGGGCACTGCGGTAGCCTGGACCAGGCTGGGCCCTGCTTCCAGAATGAAGGAAGGCACTTCCTTCAGAGACAGGGTATCCATGGCGACGCAACACCCATAGGGTGACCTTTAATCCAGATTTTCGCAGATTTGTCCTCCTGTTTACTCCTTAAAGACCTGTCCTGGAGGAATTTTTAAATATCTTTATATGTCCAGAATTGTTCCTTCGTTCTTTTCCCTGAAGGTTTCAATTCAAAAAGGTTTTAGTTTGTTGTACAAACAACCCCCCCCCCCAACACACACATACACAAGCGCGCACACACGTTGAGGGAGTGCCCATTTCTTGATTTCTGGAGTATGGTATCCCTCAACACCCACCGCCCAGCAGGCCGAGAGTTTGTCACGATCTCCAGGCCGGTGACTGGCCGCTGTCCGTCTCCCAGGGGGCGGCCATCGCCCCGCCGCCGCGGAAACTGGCGGAGAGCGAGAGGCGACGGGCGTTCAGCCCTGGGAAACTTATTACATTAAACTGTTTAAAAAAACCATTAACGGACTGCGTGGGAAGCGTGGAGAAGAGGAAGCCGAAACCCGATGGTTCTAAAGACGCATTTGTGTACCTGCGGCACAAACACGCGGATTGTAAAGTAAGCGTTTTGCCGTTTCAGCTCTACTGAAAAAACGCCCAGTGTTGAGCTTCTGTATTCCCCGGAAAACACCGCCGTAAGCGGTTCATCCTAATGTGTTTTTGCTGCTTAGGACGCTGTAGCGCTGCACTTAAGGCCATTCATGTTAAAAAATATCTCTCTTAATTATACCAGTTTATACTTGTTACCTAATATTTCCCTTTTCAGATTTACACTCGGTGCAGTATTTCATAAGATAAAGAAAGGCTTTAAAAGTAATTGCTCGTTTCGGTTTAAACGAAGCGTGTCGACCGTGCAGGATGTTCTTGACTAAAACCTTGAGGCGTAAAGTTTTACGGCTGTAAATCGGCATTGCTGTAGCACAACCCAGGAAAGCAAACCATTGCGAGGCTTATCCACTGTAGGAGAGGTTTTGGCAAGTTTGACTTGGGTCTAGGTAAACGCTGCGGTGAAGATGTGCAAACAGGCTGTGTGGATTCTCAGTGCTAAATGTTGTAAGGCGAGTGATGTGCTCCTGGCGAGATCAGTGCCTGTTACATTTAAATGTGAGGTTTCACTGCCCTTTCCTGGGGCAGTTACTGTCCTGCCAAAATATTTGGAAAGTGGGGAAACTTCCCCAGGACTGTAAACTAGTAGCAGACCAGACCTCCGTGTGCAGGCCTATAGGTAACGTAGCTGGAGGTATTGGGATGGCTGTGTTGCGGCCTCGCAGTTTGTCATGACTGTCGGCGCATATGCTTGACTGAAAGCAAGGGCAGACCTGGTTAATGTGCCGGTTTGGAAACCCAGGAAGTGCGATTCAAGCTGCACATGTGAGCTCTGGTTGTTTCTCACTTGGGGGCTGTGGTAACTGAGTCCTCCAGCTGATGCTGGGATTCCCTTTTGTTGCCCTTGGGTGTGGTCTGACCTGTGGTCTGTTTCTTCGTAGTGTAATTACAAGGGCAGTGCAAAGAGCTGCAGCTTGTTTCAGTGTCCGAGTCCAACTCGGGTCTTTAAAACGCAGCCAGCCTTCGCTATTCTGCCATATTGCCTTTGTGCATTAATGACCTGCCTGCCATCTGCCTACCTGACTCTCTGCTTATCTGCTCTCATTAACGTGCAGCTTTAGCAAAAAGAGGATTTTTGATTCAAAAAGGAATTGATGACACCTCATTGAAGCAGGCGAAATAATAACATGCTTTATTTTCTGAAAGAACTAGAAAATCTGAAGACTGCAGTGAAGCTGTTGAGGACAGGCAGCGCACACGATGGTAGACAATAGTACAGCCGGCTCTCCGTGCTGAGCGTGGGTGTGTGTGGGCGTGTGTGTGCAGCCATCCAGCAGGATCCTGTGGTGAGGGGCTGTGTGAGCGGAACGAGCTGCAGAGGCTCCAATCGCGTCTGCGCAGCCTCTAGAGAAGGAGGAAATGAGTGGAGCCGCTGAGGCAGGAGAGGCAGCGATCCGTGTCTTCAAACGTGGCATTTGTTTTCAAAGTGAAAAAATGCAGCACTTCCCAAGATGTTGCCAGCCAACTGACAAAAACAGTCCCACCTGCCTCACAGCCCTGCCTCGTCTCCTCTCCTGCCCCGCCTCACAGCCCTTCCTTCTCTCCTCTCCTGCTCTGCCTCGTCTCCTCTCCTGCCCTGCCTCACAGCTCTGCCTAAACTCCTCTTCTGCCCTGCCTCGTCACCTCTCCTGCCCCGCCTCACAGCCCTGCCTCGTCTGCTCTTCTGTTCTGCCTCACAGCCCTGCTTCGTCTCGTCTCCTGCCTCCTTTCCTGCCCTGCCTCGTCTCCTCTCCTGCCCCGCCTCACAGCTCTGCCTCATCTCCTCTCCTGCTCTGCCTCACAGCCCTGCCTCCTCTCCTGCCCCGCCTCACAGCCCTACCTTGTCTCCTCTCCTGCCCTGCCTCACGGCACTGCTTTGTCTCGTCTCCTGCCTCCTTTCCTGCCCTGCCTTGTCTCCTCTCCTGCCCTGCCTCACAGCACTGACTCGTCTCGTCTCCTGCCTCCTCTCCTGCCCCTCCTCACAGCCCTGCCTTGTGTCCTCTCCTGCCCTGCCTCACAGCACTGACTCGTCTCATCTCCTGCCTCCTCTCCTGCCCTGCCTCGTCTCCTCTCCTGCCCTGCTTTGTCTCCTCTCCTGCTCTGCCTCACAGCCCTGCCTCGTCTCCTCTCCTGCCCTGCCTCACTGCACTGCCTTGTCCATGCCTCAGCATACCGCCTTAACAGCTGTATTTTCCTATGTCTGGTCAGTAAAGAACATCTGATATTCTTGCTTGCTGCTTCCTTCCACTTGCCCTGTACGTTCCTATGTTTGATCGATCAGCACACAAGCCAGCATTTTGAAGTCTTCCTGCAAATGTCCAGCCTCTTGAATGCATCTGCAGTGATGCAGTTGTAGAGCTTTGAGCTGATTAATGAGGAGAGAAATCTATAACCACTTCTTGTAATGTTGCTTGATTCTAACCACAGTCTAAAAAGAGGATCGTTTTGACTGCCGCATTGAACCATAACTATGCTTTGCAGAGCAGCGCTAGATTTCAAAAATAAAAGTTTTTTTTTAGTCATTGCAAAGAGATGCCTTTTAATTTCTGCTCATCAAACAGACTGAATGTTATAATTGTGGTATCAGCGCGTTATAGTGCAGTGAAAGCACAGGGAAGATTATGCCTTTTCTGTGAAAACTCAGTAAGAACCTAAGCAAGGCAGCAAACAGTTCAACCTTTGCTGCTTCTTTGCATATTAGTAATTTATTGATCGTATTTATCATCTCGCCAATAACGTCTCAGGATCCTGAGCACTTGTATCGTCCCATCCTCCTCTTGCACCGATAGAGCTCGGGAGGTCAGCTCAGCTGTGAGGTATCCTTGGGGAAACGGTGAAATGAGAGAGAAGTGGGATTAATGGAGCTCTGATAACAGGGGAGTCTGAGCACCATGTAAGATCTTCCAGATGCCAAGCGGGGAGCCTGACTGAAGTGTTGTGGTGGCACTGTGCCCAAGCAATCCATTTTCCGTTTTAGTGACCTGGATATTGGTCTAGGGGCAGCCGCTGCATTCCTGTACTTTCCATTTGAAAGCTGGTTGGATAAGGGGGCAGAGGCATCACGCTCCCTGCAGCTGTGCCTCTGTGCTCTGGATCAGTCTGCCCCCTATTGGCAGGAATGAGAAATGCAGCGCACCATGGTGCAGAGCAGAACAGCAGTCCAGACCATCTGTGAGGTTGTGTGCAATACCAGCTCCGTTCATTCTACCTTTGATAAATATCCGGGCATCATTTGTATAGTCAGAAAGCTTTTTTTTGTGATTGCACTTGCAGCAATTGAGCCTGCTACTTTCACTTTTGATGGATCTCTGTTAATACTGTATTCTTATGTGATTTTTAAAATTGAATAACAAACTTGGAGGTGAAACAGCCTTCAGCATACTTTTGCTAGAGATAACTGTTTTCACTGCAAAACAGCCCCAGGGATGCTGATAAGCTGTGTGAGGTGTGAGAGTTTCCTCTGACCTTCTGCACCTCTCTGTGAACTCAGACACACCCTGCCGCCTCAGAATGCTATATTTTGCACTCATGGCTTTTGACTGGAAACTGCCACCTCACCAGATAGCATAAACAAAGCGCTTCAGAAATAGACCGTGGGACTCGTGTGCTCTTGAGTGTCAGTGCAGCCGAGGTCCCTGAGCTGCTCGCTTCACAGAGAGAAGCCCCCTGGGTACAGCCCCTGCCGCCTCATGCTCGGACCCAGCTCTGCACTGCTTGGAGGGGTGCAGGGTGACTCGGGGCATGCTCGGGTCAGCGGGTGGCTGGCGCCCCCTCTCCTGAGCTGGAGTTCGGCGATGAGTGATGTCACTGGCAGCCCCGTATTTCGAGAGCCTGAGGCCGAGGTGACAGCGTGCTATTTAGTAAAGGCAAGACGACACAAAGTCTGTTCAATGCGGTTTCTTCTGCTTGTTGTCAAACCACCAGAGCGACTGTTCTGCTAAGCCACGTCCTTTGTGACGAGCAGCAGGTACTTCACTGTTAGCAGACAGCGCTGGGGGTGGCACAGCTCTCTTGATGCTGAGGCTGGTGTTGGAGGGCAGTGCCCCCTGCGAGGCTGGGGAAGAGACGACCTCTCCAGTCCTGACACTTTAACTGTTATTCCAGCAGGAATCCTCCTAGTAAAGTTCAGCTGGACTTGTGTAACTCTTGTGCCCACCCAGGAGGAGTGGAACTATGCAGCCTTTGCTCTGAAAGAGTCATGTGCCCTTCTTCACATGCCCTCAG